GATTTCATTCTTTCTCATTGCCATGCAGTATTCCATCCTATAGATAAACCACATCTTCTTGATCCATTTGTCCATTGATGGACACTTAGGCTCTTTCCATGTTTTGGCTACTGTTGAGAGTGCTGCTATGAACCCAGATAACTTTTTTTTTTTTTAATGTTTATTTATTTTTGAGAGAGACAGAGAGTGAGCAGTTGAGGGGCAGAGAGAGATGGAGACATAGAATCCGAAGCAGGCTCCAGGCTCCGAGCTGTCAGCACAGAGCCTGATGTGGGGCTCGAACTCACAGACTGCGAGATCATGACCTGAGCCGAAGTCGGACGCCCAACCTACTGAGCCACCCAGGCACCCCAACTTTTTTAATGTCTTATTTATTTTTGAGAGCAAGAGTGACAGAGCACGAATGGGGGAGGGGCAGAGAGAGAGGGAGACACGGAGTCAAACTAGGCTCCAGGCGCGGGGCTCGAACTCACAGACCGCGAGATCATGATCTGAGCTAAAGTCCAACACTTACCTGACTGAGGCACCCTGGTGTCCCCCATCCAGATAATGTAGTTCAGTCATTGATTTCAGAATGACTGCCTCACTCCCAGATGGCTTGCCTCTCCTGACCCCAGCTTGTCCACTTCATTAGCCTCGACGGTGTCTCCAGGGACTCCATATGGGAATCACAGAGCCGGGCGGTGCCAGCCAGACTTGGTGGGTCAGCCCAGTCGTCTGCGCTCAGACGCTCACAGCACCTTGGAAAGGTGGCATGAGTTTCCTTCAGAAAGGATTCTGAGAAACAAGGTTAACATTGGCACATTGGCCTCTGCCTTCCCCGTCACCTCACTGGACGCCAGACTTGTGTCCCGTTTAGCCATTATAACATGACATCTTATTTTTAATTTTTTTAATGTTTATTATTGAGGCAGAGAGAAACACAGCACGAGTGGGGGAGGGGCAGAGAGAGGGAGGCAGGATCTGAAACAGGCTCCGCGTTCTGAGCTGTCAGCACAGAGCTCGAACGAGAGCTCATGATCTGAGCCCAAGTCGGACACTCAACCGACTGAGCCCCCCGGGCGCCCCAATATGACATTTGAAAATCAGCCCCTCCTCTCATCCAGACCTTTGCTGTGGAAGAGGAATAAAAACATTTCCATAGAAACCATTTTGATACGGCTCATTCAGACACATCCGACTTCCTCCCACCCATCTTGCCCCGCTGACTCCTCCAGCAAGTGGCCCGGAGGAGAGGAGTGCAGACCACAGTGCGGCGTGCGCACCAGAAGGGGCGAGGGAGGCGGGTCAGGCTGCCAGCAAACAGCCGTCATGGCCACGAGCCCGAAGTCAGGGGTGGGCAAACAGGCCACTGTCCCAGGGTTGTGCCCTCCCCCAAACTAACAGCTTTTGGTAGGAATCACAAGTTAGCAGCGCGGTCCGTCTGTGTATCAGATGATCACTGTACTGTTTTGGTCGCTGCAAACATTTCACATTTATGTCTGTTTTGACCATCCACACATCCATCCAGAAGCAAGGAGCACAAAACAGAAAGACTGCTCCCCCCCCCCAACCCCCGCTCTTTTTAATCATTGCAAATTCACTCAGACCCCAAGTAGTCAATTCGGCATTTATAGTGTTGGCCTTTAAGCAAGATCGTGGGCGGGAACGCAGGAGAGGCCAGGGGAGGGGTATGCTGAGGCAAGGGCTTTGGCAAATGCAACCTGCAACCTGCAATGCTTTGAGTTCAAACACCTACACCCTGTGGTGCAAATCACTGGAAAGACCCTGATCCAGAATAGTCATTTCCAAAGTCCTGAGTGCACCTCATATGGCCTAGAACTTGTAACTGTCAAGGTGCTTGAAGTAGGCCCCTGCTTTTATTTTGATGGGACGCCATTACTGTAAACTCCATGAATGCACAGCTGTGTAAGTATTCCTCCCCAGAATTTACAAATACTTCCGAGCAGTTCCTGAAACACTTAATTCATACAAACGTAATGAATAAATAGTGAATTAATGATGAGCCCCTCCCTGCAACTGTTACTGTCCATAGAAAAAAATGCACATCATTTCCTATAGTGCATTTCCTATTATCCAGCTTGTCGTAGTTCACTTTCCCAAAAGGTCCCTATTCCCTTATAAACCAAACCGTTGCCATGTTAATGATCTCTCTCTCCTCACAAAAATATAAGACCAGGAGTGTAAACACTTGTTTGTTTCATGCCTCTACATCCAGAGCTTAGGATGCCCTGATTAGCTTTAACCCTAATTGTATACATTTTGAGGATAAAATGCTGGGTATATGAGAGCTGCTCAGAAAATAGCATCAAGGGGAGCCTGGGTGGCTCAGGCGGTTAAGTGTCCAATTCTTGGTTCCAACTTGGGTCATGATCTCAAGATTTGTGGGTTTGAGCCCTGCATCAGGCTCCACACTGATAGTGCAGGGCCTCCTTGGGAGTCTCTCTCCCTCTGTGTGTGTGTCCCTCCCCGACTTGCGTGTGCACGCTTGCTCTCAAAATAGATAAAAACTTAAAAAAAAAAAAAAAATCCCAGAAAGAAAAGTCCTTGAATTTGTACAAACCTAGTAACACTGATAGATTAAATGTTGCCTAACTTGGCAATTAGTTCATTTCACAGTCCATATTTGCAATGGGATTTTTTTTTCATTTTTTTTTTAAATGTTTTATTTATTTCTAGGAGAGAGAGAGAGACAGCGTGAGCAGGGGAGGGTCAGAGAGAGAGGGAGTCACAGACTGAAACAGGCTCCAGGCTCTGAGCTGGCAGTCAGCACAGAGCCCGACGCGGGGCCCGAACCCACGAACCGCGAGATCATGACCTAAGCAAAAGTCGGACGCTTAACCGACTAAGCCACCCAGGTGCCCCTGCAATGGGATTTTTAAATATATCCCGAGTGAAAAGTAAAAACATTTCTTTGTACCTGTGTTGGGGGAGCACATGGAGATGCTGGCATCTTAAGTCTGAAAATGAATGTCAAGTGCATGCTATCTGTTTTGAGGGTCCTCTTGATTAAAAGGGACAGGAATCCCGAGTAGCTGGAAGTCCGTGTTGCTTTCCAGGTCTCATGCGTATCTGACAGTTCATGAATTTGAACCTAGAAGTCTACAGGGAAGACATTTAGGGAAATACTCCCAGCCTTACCCACATTTCCATAATAAAATCCAGTATAACCATCCCCCAGCTCATCTGTACATTTCATTATGTCAAAGGTCTCTATTCTTTCTGTGTCTTTATTTTGAGAGACAGAACGAGTGCGGGAGGGGCAGAGAGAGAGAGAGACAGACAGAGAGGGAGATATAGAATCAGAAGCAGGCTCCAGGCCCCGAGCTGTCAGCACAGAGCCCAGTGGGGTTCTCAAACCCTTGAACCCTAGAATTGTGGGGTCATGACCTGAGCCGAAGTCGGATGCTGAACTGACTGAGCCACCCAGGCGCCCCAAAGGTCTCTATTCTTCATTCAGAGCTTGCTGTTCAGTTCATGTGGAGAAGCAAGGAAAAGAGCAGACTGCAGGAGATAAAGATCGCTCTTTGTAGAGTTTTGCATACTTATAAAATTTTGCATCAGACTTGGTTTTTCTTTTTTTTAAACTTTTTTTTTTAATATTTTTTATTTATTTCTAGGAGAGAGAGAGAGAGAGACAGTGTGAGCAGGGGAGGGTCAGAGAGAGAGGGAGTCACAGACCGAAACAGGCTCCAGGCTCTGAGCTGGCAGTCAGCACAGAGCCCGATGCGGGGCTCGAACCCACGAACCGCGAGATCATGACCTAAGCGAAAGTCGGATGCTTAACCGACTAAGCCACCCAGGCGCCCCGAGACTTGTTTTTTTTAAACAGACTATTTTAGGAAGAAAAAAAACTACATTAGTGATATCCACCACGTGCCATGAACAGTAAGAAAACTGCAAAATTACTAAAGTTCTGTTATTCTGATGATACAGAAAAACTGGTTCTGTTCGTCTCAGCCTGTTGGTAGCGATGTTATTGGCTAGGAAAGCCTAGGGGCACCCCCTGGGCTGTACTACTTGCCGTGAGCCCCCCAGACCTGCCCCACCCAGACCCAGTGTTGTGACCGGACTGTTCTTCTCAGGACCGTAAGGTGCACCTTACCAACAGCCACCAGGGAACTCACGGGAACAGGGTTTATCCCAAGTCCTGGAGACTACGTAGCACACCTGGGGCCACAAAACAAGGTTGTGAGTGAGGGGAGAATGCAGACCTGGTGTTCTTCGTACGCTGGGGGCAAGGACAGGGGGTGGTTCCCTATCTCCTTGTTCTGACGGCAGCTGGATTACACAACCAGCAAGGCTGACTCCCGATGGAGCTTGGAAGTGGATGTACTGTCAGGCACTGACGCTCAGTACAGCAGTTAGACTTTCGGTAGCATTACAAGCACACGTGAGGTTACTGTGGCTCAGATACACTACAAAGGAAGAAAAACTGGAAAATTGAGAAGCAGGGGATGCTATTCAAACCTATGCGCTCTGCCTGAAGGAAGATTCGGAGAATTATTTCTCACGTGAACATTTGTGAAAGAATTCTGAAAGAACTTGACATTCACTATTTAGGGGCCCATTTATAAAAATGTATTTTGCGAGAGCAGAGGAGGGGCAGAGAGAAACAGAAACAGAATCCCAAGCAGGCTCCATGCTGCCAACACAGAGCCCAGCACAGGGCTTGAACCCATGATCTGTGAGATCATGACCTGAGCTGAAGTCAAGAGACACTCGGGGCGCCTGGGAGGCTCAGTAGGTTTGTGTCCGACTTCAGCTCAGGTCATGATCTCCCAGTTCGTGAGTTTGAGCCCCGTGTCAGGCTCTGTGCTGGCAGCTTGGAGCCCGCTTGGAATTCTCTCTACCCCTCCCCTGCTTGTGCTCTCTCTCAAGATAAATAATAAACTTAGTTAAAAAAAAAAAAAAGTTAGGCACTCAACCAACTAGGCCACCCAGGTGCCCCCAGGCACCTAGGAGTCCATTTTTTAAATGAGGCAATGACAAACACAATACCATATTTATATCTTCTATATTTTTGCCTTGGCATGAATTTTCTGGGGCATTATACATAAATTAGTACAAGGTTTTCCAACATGACTTAGAAACATGGAATTCCTCTCTAGAAAGTACGACTTAACTGAAATGTTTCACACAGACCGTGCCTTCCTGGAGCTACTACCCAGAGTGCATCCTCACATGGTTCAGAAAGGTTGAGGGCCAGCTGAAGGCTTTCCCACAGTTTGCACTGGTGAGGTTTCTCTCCGGCGTGGGTTCTCACGTGCCCCTGGAAGGTCTTGGGGGAACCGAACGATTGCCTACAGTTAAAGAGCTTCTCCCCAGTGTGCACTCTCACACGTATGCAGAAGGTTTGGGGCCAACTGAAAGCCTTCCCACACTCCTGACGCCCACAGGGCTTCTCTCCAGTGTGAGTCTTCTTGTGTCGTTGAAGAGACTGGGGGTAACTGAAGGTTGTCCCACACTGTTTACACATAAAGGGCTTCTCCCCGGTGTGCGTTATCATGTGCCTTCGGAAGGTTGAGGGAGAACTGAAGGCTTTCCCACATTCTGTACACTTATATGGCTTCTCCCCAGTGAGTTCTTACGTGTCTAGTAAGACTGGCCGTGCTGCACCGCTTGCATTTATAGGCTTTCTCTCCTGAGTGACGCTTTATGTGTTGAGAGAGGGAGTAGGGATGCCAGACAGTTTTCCCACATGACTTACATTCATAGGGCTTCTCTCCAGTATGTGTTATCACGTGCCTTTGAAAGACTGAGGGATAAATAAAGACTTTCCCACGTTCCTTACATTTATATGGCTTTTCTCTGGTGTGCATTCGCATGTGCCCAGGAAAGCTTGACAACGGACTGAAGGCTCACCTGCACTGCTTGAATCATAGGATTTCCTTGAAGTGTGTATCTTCACTTGTTGAGTGAGGGAGCAAGGACGGTAGAAGGCTTCCCCGTGTACTTTGCATTCATAGGGCTTCTCTCTAGTGTGTGCGATTGTGCGTCTCTGAAAGATCGAGGGATAACTGAGGGGGTTCCCACATTACTTGCACTTACACGGCTTCTCCCCAGTGTGAGTTCTCACATGTCTACAGCGGCTGGAGAATTCATGGAAGGTTTTCCCACAATGCTTTGCGTTCATAGTTTTTCTCTGTAGTGTGAATCCTGATACGCTGAGTGAGGGAGTAGAAAAAAGGAAAAGTTTTACTACATAATTTACATCCATAGGGTTTCTCTCGAGTGTGAGTTCTCAGGCACGTGGGACAAATGCAGGCCTGCCAGCATTCCTGACACAGATAAGGCTTTTGTCCACAGTGAGATCGGACATGCCTCTTAAGGGAAGAAAGATGCAGGAAGCCGTTTCCACACTTGGTGCGTTCATAGAGTTTTACTCCAGTAGAAATATTCTTGCAGGAATCAAGGTGGGAAAAGTGGCTGCAGGTGTCTCTGTGTTGATTCCTTCATTGCTTTCCTGGAATCTGTCTGTCACAGGATTTCTGTTCAAAGTCCAAAGTACATTGTCAATGTTCTGTTTATTAGTGATTTGGTATTAGCAACTAATAAGTATTATAAATAAATTACTAACTCCATTTTATTATTTTTTTTAATTTTAAATATTTTTTTACTTATTTCTGAGAGAAAGAGAGAGAGCAAGTGAGCAGGGGAGGGTCAGAGAGAGAGAGGGAGACACAGAATCTGAAAAAGGTCCAGGCTCTGAGCTGTCAGCACAGAGGCGGATGCAGGGCTCGAACCCACTAACCGTGAGATCCTGACCTGAGCTGAAGTCAGACACTTAACTGAGCCACCCAGGTGCCCCTAACTCCATTTTAGTGCACAGGAAGTTTCTCTACCCTCTGTGGATTGTCTTAGAGCTCATTACATGCCCTGGAAGCGACCTCAGCATGTTCAGTGTTCATTACTGATTGTTCTGTATGGGGTCTTCCTAGAATCATTTTTTTAAAATGTTTTTATTTCTGAGAGAGAGAGAGAGAGAGAGACAGTGTGATCAGGGGAGGATCAGAGATACAGGGAGATACAGAATCCGAAGCAGGCTCCAGGCTCTGAGCTGGCAGTCAGCACAGAGCCCGACGCAGGGCTCGAACCCACAAACCGTGAGATCATGACCTAAGCAAAAGTCGGACGCTTAACCGACTAAGCCACCCAGGCGCCCCAATATTTAAAAAAATTTTTAAAGAAAACAAGTATATATCAGCCAGCTTGGCTGTGACAGAGCCCAAAAAGCACTGTGCTACTCCAAGCAGACAAGCAACCCACACACAGTGTGAGAACAGCGATTTAAAAAAAAAAAAAAACCTAGGACGTCTGAGGGGAAATTTTTCACTCTTCTGGGAGGGCTTCCCTGAGAGCAGCTAATATGGACCCTCCTCTCAGGGGCAAAAGAACTGGCTGGTGCCATTTCCCTACCCCATTCCTCAACATAAACCAATTTCAGTAAACAGCACGGCATTAGCACTGGCTACCTAACCTGCTTACACGACGTCCTGCCTCCTTGTGCTCTGCAGGTACTGCTGGCCAATGAGCAGGAAACAGGTTTTCCTAACACAGAAGAAGACAGAGACCTAGATAAAATGCTAAGATAGAGGAATTCATCCCAAAAGAAAGAACAAAAAGAGGTCATGGCCAGGGATCTAACTGAAGGAGATATAAATAATATGACTGATGCTGAATTTAAAGCAACCATCATAAGGACTTGAGATTCTACTCAGGATCTCAGCTGTAACTGAGATTTGTAACTGTGTGGATATAATGAACATAAGGATGGAAGCAGTACAGGAATGAATAAGTGATATAGAAGATAAAAATATGGAGGGAAATGAAGCTGAACAAAATAGAGAAAGAATAATGGTAGATCTTGAGAGTAGACTTAGGGAACTCACTAAACTCCATCCAACGTAATAACATTTATATCATAGGAGTCCCAGAAGAAGAAAGGGGGGCAGAAAGTTTATTTGAGGAAATAATAGCTGAAAACTTCCCTAAGCTGGGGAAGGAAACAGACATCCAAATCCAGGAGGCACAAAGAACTCCCATCAAAATCAAGACATAGTGTAGCTAAACTTGCAAAATATAAAGAAAAATTCTAAATGCACCAAGACAAAGAAAGTTGCTAACTTACAAGGAAAGACAAATAAGGTTAGCAGCAAATCTCCCCACAGAAACTTGGCAGACTAGAAGAGAGTAGCATGATATAGTCAGTGTGCTGACTGGGGAAAATCTGCAGCTAAGAATATTCTGTCTAGCAAGATTATTCAGAATAGAAGGAGAAATAGAGTTTCCCATACAAAAACTAAAGGATTACTGACCACTAAATCAGCCCTGCAAGAAATATTAAAAGTGAGTCCTTTGGGAAAGAAAGACCAAAAGTGACAAAGACTAGAAAGAAACAGAGAAAATCTCCCAAAATAATGATACATTACTCTGAATGTAAATAGAATGTAAATGTTCCAGTCAAAAGAGTATCAGAATGGATAAGAAAACAAGACCCATCTAGGGGTACCTAGGTGGCTCAGTCAGTTAAGTATCTGACTTCAGTTCAGTTCATGATATCATGATCAGTGAGTTTGAGCCCTGTGTCAGGCTCTATGCCAACAGTTCAGAGCCTGGAGCCTGCTTCAAATTCTGTGTCTCCCTCTCTCTCTGCCCCTCCTACACTTGCACTGTCTCTCAAAAATCTAAAAAAAATTTGTTTTTTAATTTTTTTTTTTAAGTTTTTTTTAATTTATTTCTGGAGAGAGAGAGCGTGAGCAGGGGAGGGTCAGAGAGAGAGGGAGTCACAGACTGAAACAGGCTCCAGGCTCTGAGCTGGCAGTCAGCACAGAGCTCGACGCGGGGCTCGAACCCACGAACCGTGAGATCATGACCTAAGTGAAAGTCGGACGCTTAACCGACTAAGCCACCCAGGCGCCCCTAAAAAAAAAAAAAAAAAAAAAATTAAAGACCCATCTATATACTGCCTTATTTTAAAAGACTCATTTGAGACCTAAAGACATCTGCAGATTGAAAGTAAGGGGATGGAGAACCATCTATCATACAAATAGACATCAAAAGAAAGCCAGAGTAGTCATACTTACATCAGACAAACTAGATTTTATTTTCTGTTTTATGTTGTTGTTGTTTTTTTTTTTTTTGAGACAGAATACAAGCTGGGGAGGGGGAGAGTGAGACACATACACACAGAATCTGAAGTAGGCACTCGGCTCCAAGCTGTCAGCACAAAGCCCAATGAGGGGGCTCAAACCCACAAACTGTGAGATCATGACCTGAGCCAAAGTCAGACCCCTAACCTACTAAGCCATCCAGGTGCCCCAAACAAATTAGATTTTAAACCAAAGACTATAACAAGAGACGAAGAAAGGCATTACATCATAATTAAAGAGTCTATCCTTCAAAAAGAGCTAACAATTGTAAATATTTATGCTTCCAACTTGTGACACCCAAATATATAAATCAATTAATAACCATAAAGAAACTCATTGATAATAATAGTGGACACTTTAAGTCCCCACTGACATCAGTGGACAGACCACCTAAGCAGAAAATCAACAAAGAAACAAAGGCTTTGAAAGACACAATGGATGGGATGTACTTAACATATATTCAGAATAGTTCATCGTAAAGCAGCAGAATACATATTCTTTTCCAGTGCACATGCGACATTCCCCAGAATACATCATATAGTAGGTCACAAATCAGGCCTCAGCAAGTACAAAAGATTGAGATTATACCATGTGTAATTTCAGACCACAACACTATAAAACTTGAAATCAGCCACAACAAAAAAATTAGCCACAAATTCCTGAACGTTAAAGAACACCCTACTAAAGAATGAGAGGATTAATCAGGAAATTAAAGAAGAAATTTTAAGAAGTACATGGAAACAAATGGAAATGAAAACACTATGCTCCAAAACCTTTGGGATGCAGCAAAAGTGGTCCAAAGAGGGAAGTATATTGCAATACAGGCCTACCTCAAGAACCAACAAAAATCTCAAATACACAACCTAACCCTACACCTAAAGGAGCCAAAAGAAGAACAAAGCCAAAAGCCAGCAGAAGGGAAACAGTAAAGATTACAGCAGAAATAAATGATATAGAAACTCAAACAAAAAAAACAGTAGAACGGATCAATGAAACAAGGAACGACAGTACTTTGAAAACACTAATAAAATTAATAAACCTGCAGCCAGACTTCTCAAAAAGAAAAGAGAAAGGATCCAAATGAATATAATCACAAATAAGAGAGGAGAAATAACAACCAATGCTTCAGAAATAAAAACTATAATATTATGACAAATTATATGCCATCAAATCAGACAATCTGGAAGCAATGGATAACAGCATGTAAAAGCATGCTAGATGCATATAAACTACCAAAACCAAAAGAGGAATAGAAAACTTGAACAGACTGATCACCAGCAAAGAAACGGGATCAGTAACAAAAAATCCCCCAACAAACAAAAGTCCAAGACCAAATGGCTTCACAGAGGATTTCTACCAAACATTGAAAGAGTGAATACCTGTTCTTCTCAAACTGTTCCAAAACATAGAAATGGAAGGAAAACTTCCAAACTCCTTCAATGAGGCCAGCATTAACCTGATTCCAAAACCAAAGATTCCACCAAAAAAGAGAACTACAGGACAGTATCCCTGAGGAACAGAGATGCAAAAATTCTCAACAAAATACTGACAAGTTGAGTCCAACAGTACATTAAAAGAATCATTCACCATGATCAAGTAGGATTTATTTCTAGGCTGCAAGCGTGGTTCAATATTCACATATCAATCAACATGATACATCACATTAATAAAAGAAAGGATAAGAACTATATGATCATCTCAATAGATGCAGAAAAAGTATTTGATAAAGTACATCCATTCATGATAAAAACCTACAACAGAGTAGGGATAGAGGGAACATAACTCAACATCATAAAGGTTATATATGATAAACGCACTGCTAACATCGTCCTCAATGGGGAAAAACTGAGAGCTTTTCCTCTATGGTCAGGAAGAAGACAGAGATGTCCACTCTCACCACTGTTACTTAACATAGTACTAGAAGTCTCAGCCACAGCAAACAGACAACAAAACAAAATAAAAGGCATCCAAATTGGCAAGGAAGATGTCACACTAGCACTATTTGCAGATGACATGATACTCTATGTAGAAAACTCAAAAGACTCCACCAAAAAGTTACTAGAACTGATACATGAATTAGGTAAAGTCTCAGAATACAAAATCAACATACATAAGTGTATTGCATTTTTATACACCAATAATGAGCAGCAGAAGGAGAAATTAAGGAATAATTCTCATTCATAATTAGACCAAACTCACTAAGATAGGTATCTTATAGGTACCTATAGATAAGATAGATAAGATAGGTAGGAATAAACCTACCAAAGACTTGTATTCTGATAACTATAAAACACTTACAAAAGAAACTGAAGAGGACACAAAAAAATGGAAAAACACTCCAATGTTCATGGATTGGAAAAAAAACCTTGTTAAAATATCTGTG